CTGTTTCCTATCTTGGTACAACAATTTGAGTAATATGAGGAATTTGAGCAATTTGGGCGCTTTTGAGCGCTTTTAGGCGAAGTGTGGCCGGTAATCTCGTCGCACAAGCACAAAACGTCATTTTTGGGCTCAAGGGAGTATTCGTAAAACTTACTGGGATCAAAGGGGTATTCGTTTTGGAAAACACCATTTGCCCACCTTGTGCCGGGCCCTGATCATGGACTCTCTCTACTGCCAAGCTTCACGATCGGGACCATATAACACCATATTACTCTGGTTTGTTTCGCATCACCACTCTCTAATTGAATTTGACTAACGCTGACATTGTCCGTATGATATCTATTAGGTTGAATTTTATATCTTTTAACATAATCTTCCATTTCTTAGCGCACAAAGCTTGGAATCAGTAGATTATGATATGAGCTATAAATGTGACCACGCTGCCTGATGTTTGGTAGCCAAAAAAATCAGATAATAAATTCAACAAAGTGCTCCATAGAATTCTGCGTAGAAGTTGTTCAATCCTTTCAATTTTCTATTGCAAGGGCTACTACTACAAGAAAGCTAATTACCGAAAATGTTCAGTACCTACAATATGCTTAGGTATCCATCTACGACAATGGCCAATGTTGTCTCCAAAAATTGCAGGAGTTGTTTGTTATCTCACCAAAACTCACTTTCTTATCTCCTCCACAGCTATCAATCACTCATTCCAAAATCTTTCACAAAAAGCCTGTTGACTCTGTGAGCATAGTGACAAGAATGTTATGTGGCAAAGAAATACTAACATTATATTACACTCTTCCGTTTTATCTGGAGAGTGCAGTGCAAGCACTTTTCACCTCAACATGAAACTAACTTTGAAGGAATGTAAAGATTACACGTATCTCGACCAACTCCATAGTGAACTTTTCCATATAAATTATTTTGATGTGTGATCATATAGCTAAACACTTTGTGATCTTATCTAGCGATACAAAGGCGAGGTCTAAAAAAAGTTTCTACAGATTGATGCCACAAATAAAAAAAAGTTAGAACTCCCAACTTTTATGATTAGAACTTGGACAATGTATCTATTTAGTGAACAGTGGAAATTCTACCTTCTTCCTCTAAATATCTCATAATAACAACAGAATTTAGTTTATGTAGTGACTGACGAACTTCATCAGAATGATGCAACGAACTGCCTATAGTGCGAAACTGCATTGATTCGCTAGAATTTGATGTCTGACTACAATGGACTTGCTGTGTATTTTTATATTGAAGTACATCATTCCAAGCATAGTTCGATGTGTTCATTTACCGATTTTGTAGCAGTTACGATAATAATCGTATAACCTAAGGGGTGTCTACGTGTTCAAGACTGCGACACTCCTACATCGATGCATAGTTCCGTTTTGAATTTTAGCGGTAAATTTTACTGTTTTGATTGTAAGATTGTGTGTATACAGACTATCTTCAAAATTTTGCTCCCTAGATGAGTTCAATATAAAATTGACAGGCCAAATCTATAGCTTTATCTTTAGTTTTGAAGTTTTATTTCACTAGATTTGAAATGTTGAGAATTCGATCAACTTTACATACTTCTAGCCGACTACTAATTTTCGAGTGAAAATTAATATGTCGAGGTTACAAGCTGATAAAAAGAATCACATTGTTTTCCCAAATTTGCTAACAATACGGTTCATCACAACATTCATTTATTTTGGTCCATGGTCCTACCACTTTAAATTAGAGAAATCTGTGACGGACGGAAGTTTCTAACGATAGTCATGCTTTTTGAATTTATTTACTCGACAATTCGATTTTGTTTCGTCTGTCTGATATGTAGACTAAGATTCTTGATATATATCACAAAAAAATGTGTAGCTCTACTAACTTTTTGCAAACATTTCTAAGAGTTTTAAGAATCAGTTCAGTAGATCAGGTATGTGAGGTCGCTTAACAAGACCTAGCAAATTTTTAGCCAAACCAATTTCTAGTTGATAATATCACAAAAATGTGTAGCTCTACTAACTAAAATTCTTGATAATATCACAAAAATATGTGTAGCTCTACTAACTTTTTGCAAACATTTCTAAGAGTTTTAAGAATCAGTTCAATAGATCAGGTATGTGAGGTCGCTTAACAAGACCTAGCAAATTTTTAGCCAAACCAATTTCTAGTTGATAATATCACAAAAATGTGTAGCTCTACTAACTAAAATTCTTGATAATATCACAAAAAAATGTGTAGCTCTACTAACTTTTTGCAAACATTTCTAAGAGTTTTAAGAATCAATTCAGTAGATCAAGTATGTGAGGTCGCTTAACAAGACCTAGCAAATTTTTAGCCAAACCAATTTTTAGCCTCCAAGTTGTTCATATCCAGCGATGTTGAAGCACCAAAATGAATGGAGATGGTGTTGAATTGAAAATTTTCGAAGCTTGAAGCTGTCAAGAGTAATCCGACCGTTGAGCACACGATCTGCCACATATTGTCCATCAAATCAAATACGCTCTTGGACCTGAGCAAATAGCTCAGTTTATGTCGGCAATGCACTGGCAATGTATTACGATTGCCCTTGCTCATAATTTGAATTTTATTTGTACAGAATGCATTTGTTAGGATTACAACAGTAAAATAGACGTTATCGATTTTTTTGCAATTCAGGAACTCTCGAATTTTATTCCAAATATCATATTGTCCTTCACCAGCATACGATACAATTCTTTCTGCCTCTGACGCTATTCTTCGAAAAATGTGTGAACTGCTGTATCTTCTTGCAAAGTTTACACATCGAAAAGAGCTTAGCATGAACAAAAACAAGCAAAACTTTGACCTTTCACTGAAAAGTAGTTCCTTCAATCCTACCTTCCTAAAGGCAATTTTTGGGCACGAAAATTCCTTCATCATAGAGATTTTGTCTTTTATTGAGATGGAAATATATGCAGCAAAAGTATGACTACATTTCAGTATGTGTAGTGAGTGTACTATGCAAAACAATATTATACTGTAACTAGCCGCTCTCATATTTCTGTACATATTCATTTGAAAAACTCCGAACTTTTTCTCACGAAGTTGAGGAATCGAAAAGAATGATTTGTCATTTTCCAAGTTCTCCAAGTTTTTTCCAAGTATATGCCCTATTTTTTTCTTAGAGGGAGTGTTCAGACAAGTCTAAGTGCTGAGCTTTTATGTGCATCGGATTAGATGTTCTTGACTAAGTACCGGAAAATTTGAAACTAGACTTTAACCAAGATCGCAACTTCTATCGCGTTTCAGGACCTCGCTCAGTCCGTTATGAAACATATGAGATTTACAGATACTCAGCACGGACACTGGACTAGATTTCGCACGAAAAAAGGTGACATTTACTCCAAGTAAAAGATCAAACAACATCAGAATACTTCTGTTGCAAACAAATAATCAAATCAAATTCGACTTTTTCTAGCAATTGAATAGTCAAAACAGGTTTATATGCATTAATTTACATACTGCCTGAAGCCAATGGAAATCTAGCCCACATTAAATATGGTTAAACTATTTGTAATGCGCAAAGCTATCTGTTTTATATTGGAGGTACTACCTGTCACCGAATCTATTACTTGCTCATAACAAGAACCATATTCAGTTTGCGTTGTTTCATCTGCTTTTCGCTATGGTCCTCTTACTGTAGAGTTTCAGTCTGTGTGTATATAAAAATTTTCTGCTCTCTAGAGTCTAGTGCTGGAGTTTTTTTGTGCGTTTTCAAATGATCTCATAGTAAGGAAAATTTCGTTAATGAGCAAGGTGGGGAAGCAACCTTATATGTATACTTGTCTCAAGTTGTGAAAAAAAAAGGTTTTTTTACACTCAGACACTTCGCGAAATCACCGCAGTCTTTATTCTTTTTTTCGTGTAAATCTATGATTCCAACACCCGCACCAATAAACAAACTCATTACCACTTTATCTTCTCCTCAGAATAGCTAACTTTACGAAACACCTATCATTGTCTTGTTTACTTGCCTGATCCTGAACTACGTCACTCTTCTTTGTCAAATTAGTGAGTCACGAATGTCTAGTATTTTTCCCACAAATAGAGAAATGCCAGATTCAGCAACTTAACAGTTGCAGACTGGCATTACAGATTGCAACCAACTATCAAATCCGTTAAAAACAGCAACTCCTTTTAAACCAATCCAAAATTTTTTACTTGGATAGTTGCCGCACGGTTTCGAAGTTTTCTCATTCATCTCTAATTTATAAGTCCTTAGAAACTGCTGACAACATTTTTGATCTTTCCGTCCGACAAAGTGACAGTTATCAAGTTAATCACGGCCTGGAAACAATGCACGTAAACGTCAGTCCGCACTCTGATCCAAAAAATACATGTTTGAAAAAATAGTGAGAACGACCCGCAAGACCTTCAGCAAAAACGAGAAAGCGGTGACAGATTTTATTTTTGTACTATCATTGATTCAATCTCTAATCCTTCTCTGATACTGTTCTTCATGCCAGTTTGTATATGACGAATTCAAGTTAGAATAAAATCTACATCTTTCTTGATACACTTTCGATTTGAATAATATTGTGATCAAAAGCGTGTGCAGTTGTAAACGAAAAACTTTTCTTTGTTTTATAAGTATTTTCATTCTCTCTTTCAAATAGAAAGCTACATCTGCTATAGGTTTATGGTTTAGAGCTAAAGAAGTTGTTTTTGTAGTGCTAGTGAGAAAAGAATCTAACGAAATGGAAAAGATCAATGAACATGAAACTGAACATCAGCAGAATGGAATTCTTTGTGATAGCTGAAAGAGACTGAGAACCTATTTGAGTGTTGAGAAGGTAGATGCTGATTTATCTTGTGTTCCTTTGAGATCCATACCATATTCAAAAATTTTACAACTTCTATGTGCCTACAGTTTCTTTTTCATTGCGTATCTGTCGCATTACTTTCTGAATGATGTCGCACATCAATATCGCAATTACTTAAACGAGCTAGTGTATTTGTGCAAATTTTCCCGAAAACGCTCTTCTTTTCAGTAGTAAGCCATGGCAACGGAAAAAGAGCGGCCGTCAATTCCAGAAGCAGACAAACTGGTGAGGAGTTTTTTTTTCTGAACGATTTTATCATTAAATTTGCGCTTTACATCTGTGTTACGACGATCAGATAAACAAGCTTTATTGCAACATGTCAGATCAGTTAGCGAACCCATGTCTTCAAAGCTTAGCCATGTCTTCAAAGAATATACCGCCATCGACTGAACAATATTTCGGGCAGATTCCTCGTTCACCGTCTTTACCAGGTGCTCCTGGCATGCCAGCTTGTCCACGTTGTCCAGGAATGCCAGGGTTACCCGGTTGTCCGGGTGGTCCCCGTGGCCCATCTGGTCCGGGAGGGCCTTCCTGTAACGAGAGTTCAAATTAATAACTTGATTGCTCTTGTGAAACAGGCGAATCAGGCAGGAGAACATACCATTACCAGAGCAAAACTAGATGATTGTTTGGAAACGTCATGATCAAAATTTGATAGATAATCAAGAGCTGACGGGAGAACTTGCTTGGTTAGTTTTTCCAGTCATCAAACAAAAATTCTGGAGATCGCCATACGTCTGATAGATATGGAACAGAGAAGATACTCCCTCAAACAATTGCATCGGAAAGTTCGCGGCCTCAAAGCATGCTACATGGCGCGCCGCGGCCCTTGAAATATCAGCCGCGCACGCCGCGGCCCATGTATATTTTACCGGGAACGCCGCCGCCAAAGTTAAATCTGGAAAGAGCTTATCGGGAGAGTCGCGGCCCAATCACCTCACTGCAGCGGGCCTTATCAAACAAAGGACGCACTTTTTACACGCTGTAGCTTAAGGCGCAACCCGCGTAAGGTACGCCGCAGCGATGGGGCTACCCTAAGTGTTTGTGTGGGTGGTAGTTGCTTCTCGGGTTGGATTGTGTGACAGTTGAGTTTATATGCTCACGAAACAAACTCCAGCAATTAGTTGAGTGTTATCGACGACAGTAGATGATGTCGATAGATAACCTAACAAGTTGCTCAATTTGTACTCAGTCATTGTCATGAAAGACGGGCCAAAATTTTTTCCTCTTCTAAGCCTCACAAGCATGCTAATCGGGTCAACTATCGGGCGCTTACAGAATGCGCCGCGGTCACTTATCCGGTCGAATATCAGTTTATACCGGGCAGCTCGCGGCATGGATGATTGGCGGCCGAGCAAGCACCCGCGAACTTCCCGATGCAATTGTCTGAGCCAATGAAATCACATCACTTACCGCGCCATTCTTTCCAGGTGGTCCAGGTTGTCCCTGAGGTCCGGGTGGTCCAGGCGGTCCTCTTGGTCCGGGAATTGGCCGCGTGGTTTCAGCATTTGGTCCGGGTGGTCCAGTTGGTCCCGGCTTCCCCATTGGTCCTGGCATTCCCGATGGACCTTTTTCTCCCATTTCGCCCCGCTCACCATCTGGGCCAGGTCTTCCTGGCGGACCCATCGGTCCCTGATTTCCAGCTTCTCCTTGAGGCCCTGGAGGACCTGGCAAACCCGGTGGACAGGGAGGGCAAGGTGGTGGCGTGATGGGTTCGCATGGGAGTTGCGGAGGTCGACCAGGATTACCGGGCCTACCTGGCGCTCCTGGAATACCAGGATGTCCAGGCCTACCTGGTGGACCTTGCGGTCCAGGCGGTCCCGGTAAACAGCAGCCACTACAATCAGGAGCTGCTTCTGCAGCTTCGGCGGTGGCTCTAGTTGATCGGTTCAGAGGCGACTTTATCAACTCGGAAGCATCAGAATAGACAGTTTTGGCAGTGACTTTACACATAGCCATCTCATTCTGCATCACTCTCCGTACATTAGTGACGTAAATATAGACTATAGGAAGAGTAGCGCAAACGGAGAGGACGGCTATGAAGGAAATGGCAATGGCAGCATAACCAACGATACGATACGCCTGAAAACATTGACAGCTACATGACAGCACAACAATTGTAAAGCGATGTCAATGTTGACTTTTTGACATGGAAAATTCTTCTCACCTTGATTTTTGTGTCTTCCATGCGCACGTCTCGGCGGTTAGCGACACAGCAAAACTTACGTATCCCCTATATAGAGAGCAATACGGATTGGTGTGAAATCCGGCCAAAGTTGCCGCCTCTTTTTCCGACTCTGCGTCTCGCTCTCTTCTGCTTTTTTACAATTCTTGAGAACTGTGTGTGACCGTATATAGGTGGAACTTGTCTCTTCCACCTGCGAGGGCTTCTTTCTTCGATTATTTTACAGAGAGTCGAGAAGCAGAATAATACCTGCGTGAACTTAACAATATTCTAGGTCGAACCAGCGCCAGAAGCCGAAGAAGAAGACGCAGATAAGGGACTGGCGAAGTCGCTCACGCTGTTCAACGGTGTGACGATCATCATCGGATGCATCATCGGCTCTGGCATTTTCGTCTCACCCACTGGTGTACAAGAACGTGCGTTGCATTTATCAGTTTTTACTGCCAAACGAAATGATTTAGAGACTGCGTTTTTAGCCCCAGACTGTTGCCTAGCGTTTATATGTTTGGTCTCAGCTCGCAAATAGCGGAAAAATGGTAGAAAAACTATTAGGTGACATAGCCAAAAAGTAAAGCTCAGATCACAGAAAAGCAGCTTATTACTGTTAGTTTCTACGGTTCTGACTTCACATAGGAAGTGAATGAGTACGAACATTATGGGAGTAATGGCATCTCTTGCAAGCTGTACTTTATGTTAGCAGATCAGCAGGCTGTAGCTATCTCTGTTTCAAGGCATTTGGCTCATTGAGTGTTTCATGAACGAATAAGAGGAAGAAGTCAATGATTTTGCACCAAAAAGATTGTTGTTTGCTGGAGATGATAATCTTTATGTCATCAAAATTCATGTACTACATGATCAACGAAGCTACTCTCAAGTTTCAAGAAACGCTGATGCAAATTCCGTCGAACATTTATCGGGACAAATTGGTCAGAAATCACTACTAACCTGATTAATCTTTGAATGTGCGAATTTCCTCATTCTTTGAATCACTATCTGTCAGTGATTCGAAAATGGAAGTGCGGTGGCTATGGCATGGCGATATTGTCCAAACGCTTTGCGCGCTAGCCCGCTTCATATATACGACTTGCCTAGTATCCTAATTATGCGCGATCAAACAGGTACATAATTTATGCTAATGACAAGAGAAAGAAGATACGAACACCCGACACAGGGCCAGGTGTCCGTCTTGTGTTCTGTGTCTGTTTTAGTATTGTAAATTAGCAGCCTAACTCTTATGCATGAGCTCCCGAGGCTTCACCCAAGCAGATCCACCGGCTCGCCAAGGTGAAGACACGGCACAACAGCCTCTACGTTCTTAGGATTCATCAAATGTCAATAGTCCACGATTCGGAATTATCCAAAAGTGCCAATTCGAAATCAATTAACATTAAAGTTTCATTTCAATGAGAGTTCGCTTGACCGCTAGCGTAAAAGAGTCATGTAAGGCAAAAGCTTCACAGCTAGGCGCGAGCACGAATGCATGCATGACAAAAAATATTAACCGAAAACAAAAGCTATGCGCTGTAATGAGACGTAGCCGCTATAAATAGCCGTTTGGCTGGCAACTCGCCAAGACAAGGGGTCCTGAGACGATTGCGGATAGCGCGGCAACCAGTGCTCCCGGTCCTCCGTACTACTAGTAGCGCACGCATCGCGCCTCAGAAGCTTATCGTGTCGCATGTTTTGGCCATGATAACTACATCACAACGAAATAAAAAAATACCTTTCATTCTAAACTAGTGGGCTGTTAGATGGTTATGTACTAGTGAGGTATTGAACGTTACTTCCTCCAGGATAAATGCGTATGAAGAATTCGTCGCAATTCGCTTCTGTTCAAGACTTGGGAACTTGTAATGTAAATTTGTACAATGCTCAGTAGTGAAGAATAACAATCTCAAGTGTGGTTTTCTAGGGGTGAACATTTTCATTGTAAAAAAGGTTTGACCGCCACTTACCCTTGCCCATTGTCGATCTTGAGGAAGACAGTAAATAAGAAAGGCGAATACAAAATAAACGAAATAAATAAACAAAACTTCTAAACACCTACAGCAAGAGATCGTGCTAGCGCTATACTGAAGCGCGCTGGCGCTGAGTCGGCGCTTCTCCGCATCTGATGCAATCTGCAAGCGGTCTGATAATTCTGGGACTTGCAAAAGTAGCTCATGCACTGGCGTATTGTAATGAGGCTTTTCTAGCAAGCATCCTCGTTAGAGAAAGAGTACCTCAAAGCATAAAATGCACACAAAAATACTTGCCTATAATTTACTAACATATAATAAAAATATTTGCAGAGGCTGGATCCGTTGGCATGTCTCTGATAGTATGGACCGCATCGGGATTATTTACTGCTGTCGGAGCCTATTGCTATGCTGAATTGGGTAAGAATCACTTTTTACAGTAAGGTATCGTTTCATTGATCTCACATTTAGGAACACTGATTAAGAAGTCTGGTGGTGACTATGCCTACATTATGGAAGCTTTTGGTCCATTCCTTGCATTTATTCGTTTATGGATAGAGTCAATTGTTGTAAGGTAATATCTTACACATGGCAAGAAGAAATAGAAAATAGTGTATCAGTGTAACCGTTGTGAACCAGACCCTTCATCAGACGATTGCTGATCGTTTTTCATTCCACTGAATCAGAACGCTCACTACCTTATTTGTGTGCACTTCTTTGGACTCCTTAATTTTGACCATAGCTGACTCAATAGAGGTTTTAAGCTTATGGGACGCCAAAAATAATGATCATGTGTTTCAAAGTATTCTTCTCATCCAAAATCACGTCTTCTCAAGTGCTTTGCCTTTAAAAATTTTTGATTTTCTCTCTTTTCTACAAAAAAGTAAATTTTGTAGAAAAGAGAGAAAATCAAAAATTTTTAAAGGCAAAGCACTTGAGAAGACGTGATTTTGGATGAGAAGAATACTTTGAAACACATGATCATTATTTTGGCGTACCATAAGCTTAAACCTCTATTGAGTCAGCTATGGTCAAAATACAGGGTGTCCCAAAAAGATGTGCACACTGTTTGATTGTTGATAACTTTCTTGCTTTCATGTCTTTTGCCGAGCTTGAGGTACCATTCTGTAGAGCGAGGATAAACTTAGATTTACAATATGGAGGGACTTACCAGCCGCTTTTCATTACTGTAGAATTACGGTAGGAATTTCGAGGAGGATTTTCAGCAATGGAAAGCTGTATTTTGCCTCACAAAGAGCCAAATAAGCCAGAAACTCTTGAACTGGGTTAATCATAGTTGCTGATTCTAAATATGAAAACTGCACGTCAGTACAATGTTTCTTTCATGGGTTAATTCAGATTTAGGGTAACAACTGATTTTCCAGTGTTCAGCAGAAATGTGAGTACGCCATCAAGAAAGCTCGAAAAACTGATGGAAAGTTATGTAGTGAAATCAGCACGCCTGAAAACCTTGCTAAACAATTTTTTAGATTTTTTTGAATTTATTTCATCAAAAGGCTTTTCCCACAGTGATGCTGTATGCTGAAAGTTCATACCGTAATCCTACAGTAGCGAAAAGAGATTGGAGTTTCGCTCAATACTGTAAATCTAAGTTTATCCTCGCTCTACAGAATGATACTTCAAGCTCGGCAAAAGACATGAAAGCAAGAGAGTTATTAACGATCAAACAGTGTGCACATCTTTTTGGGACACTCTGTATTAGGTTGATCCATAATTAATGCACGTTTTCTATACTTCAACTTTGAACTAAGACAAGTCTTTTTTGAGAGGAGATTCCTGGGTGCAATAAAAACTATTGTAACCATCAATTCAATGGCTATACAACCGATACTTTTGCGTAACTATATCTATCATAAGAAAGATTTTCTGGCCTGAAGGTTGCCAACTTTTTCGGAAGCCTCTACTTTGAGAGAGCATAACTTATGTTGAAATGAACTTCATTGAAGGATAGGATGAAGCAGACTTCACTGTTTGTGTGGCCAAGGGCATTTTGAGTAGTGGTGCCAAGCTTGGATATTACAAAAATTTTTGAAAGAAAATATCGCGGAAAAGTTGAAAGTACTCACTTTTTTTCTGGCATTCCGGCGGGTTCAAAAATCGGTCATTTTTGAAATTATTTCATTTTTCTCCGCTGGAAAGTGAGAAAACCCTAGCACTTTTCTACTATCAAATGAACTAGGGCTACTCTTGCTAAATAGTGCAAAAGATCTGCAATCGCCTTTTGCTTTGAATGTTTATATGGCACGGAAGCGTCACAACAATCATTCAAGTTCGCAATTGTATTTCTCAGCTAAGAATCCATGGAAGATTTTGTTCAAATAGCTTCTTATAGCACAAAGTCTCCTACTCCTTATGCATATTTTCTGGAATTAATCCAGGTATTCCTCATGAATTTGGGGCAAAAAGAGTGAAAAGCAAAAATTTTGGGATTTGGTCTCCTTTATTTGAAGGCTTAGAAGTTTGGTACGAAAGGAGATATACGAAAGCGAAGGCCGACATAAGAAACTAGAAATAACGCTCTTTCAGATAGCTGAGAAAGTTTAGAAGAAAATTAATTACACATAAAATACCAGCTCTTGGAAGAAGAGGTGAGAAAAACGTGCATTAACTATGAATCGCCCTAATAGCTTGACCTTAACTCATCATAAAAATAAGTGGCTCGAAAAGTTTGAATTGAGCGCAGACTTTTTTACCGCAAGGGCTGACTTCAACGCATCATCATTAATCCATGAAATGAATCATTGAAATTACCGACCGCTTTCCGTCAGTGTGAGGATACGGTAGGAGGTTGAGTAGGCTTAGTGAGAGTCTTTTTTGCTAAAAAAAAATTCTACAAGATCTATAAACTCTGGCCATAGACTTGACCCCGCTGCGGAAACCCCGCTGCGTATGTTTTCAAGTCTCTAGAAAATTTTCAGAGCAGCTTTATACTCCAAATTTAAGTTAAAGCCAGCCCTCCAGCATTGTACCTTGATGACTTTGAACGGAATCAAAAGTAGGGAGGTGTTAATGATAAGCATTGTGTGCAAACTGCAACTCTTGTGACGATTCATATGCGCACATATAATTTCGAGCTGAAAGTTCCTACATTCACAGCCAAAATGCACGGTGTCCCAAAAAGACGTGCCTACTGTTTGATTGTTATTAATAACTCTTTTGTAATGAAGTCTTTCGAGAAGCTTTAGGTACCATTTTGTAAAGCTGAATTCAATAGATTTACATCATAGTGTAAATCAAAAATTCGGTTTCATTACTGTAGGATTACGGTAGGAAGCTTCACGAAGGTTTGAGTATGGAACCGAGAAGCTGAAAGCTCCTACACTAAGTTCATAGGAGTGGCTGCTTCGAAACATGAAATTCGCACTTCACCGTAACGCATTTTCCATAACTTATGCCAATTATATCACAACAACCAATTTCTGCCATAGGACGAGTCTGATTAGGCTAATCAAATAGAAAAAATCTTGATTTGCTCTATACTGTAAATCTAAGTTGAAGCCATTTCTACAAAACAGCACCTAAAACTTCTCGAAAGAATTCATACAAGAAAGCTATCAACAATCAATCATTAGGCACATCTTTTTAGGACACCCTATATAATCTTTATGTAATGGAATCAGATAATCAAAAATCGAGAAGGCTACAGAGGGTTGGAGACAAATTTCTTGTGCAATGATGAACTTGCTATCGATGTCTCATCATTCACATTATTTTCTGCGAAGCAAGACCGAGAAGTCGTAAAAACAAAACTTGATCAGATCAGTTCTGCTTATATTTTGCAAATGCCAATTGTTGAAAGCAAAACAGCACATGCAGCGTTCTTAGCCAAGACCCTAAAACTTTGAAAAATGTCATGGACGTTGATTCTTCCAAAGAAAAAGCAGAGAAATAGAATGTGTGCACATTTCTAGGCCATGTACGGTAACTGTCGTTGCGGTAACTTTCGCCATTTACATACTTCGACCATTCTACCCGGATTGTGACCCTCCTGATGGTCTTCCAGAACTCCTAGCCATTCTCTTGATCGGTGAGCCTGGCTTTTAGTTAAAACTCAACTACGAAAACATCGTTTATAGTGCTCATGACGGCAATCAACTGCATATCGGTCAAAGCGGCTACTTTTGTACAAGATTTCTTCACTATTGCTAAGATTTTGGCTCTTATTTTGATTATTGGCACTGGAATGGTTTTATTGATGACAGGTATGAGTAGAGGAGCTAGCAATTGCAGAGTCCCTATTTTCCATTTGTCGTTTTAGGAAAGCCACAGTACAGAGAATCGTTTGAGAACATTTTCGAGAATACGTCCAGAGATTTCTCGACCATATCAATCGCATTCTACTCTGGTCTGTTTGCTTATTCTGGCTGGAACTTCTTGAATTTCATTGTTGAAGAGTTACAGAATCCTAAAAGGTAAGTGACCACTGACCAAATTGCATTTCTTAAAATTTGCGTTTATGCTAGAATCTCAAATGAGGTAAATGAGTATGATAGAGAGAATTAAGAAAGGCAAATTTTTTTTTAAGTTAATTGACTTTACCAGTTAGAGGTGTAGAACATTTTCCAATGCATTTCCATGAAACGTTTATTCAAATTTCCTCATTTTTCTGCAAAAATCTAGACTATGTATGGAACATATGACAATAATTTTGGTACACAATGCGCTTTAAGAAAAATCAAAAGCTTTTTTACTTTATTAGACGTGAGCTGGGCATTTATTTTATGTTCTTATTGCAGTTTTCAAATAGTAAACGTATCAAGCAGTTTGTCCCATCAAAAAACCCTTTTTTGCATTCCCGCCTGCCAGGTGATGATAGCGGACCGGTTCTGCGCCTGCGTTAATTAATTTATTGTAAAAATCAGAGCTTGTTCATGATTAAAAACACTCCTCCTGCAAATGTACTGTAAAAACTTGAGCGCAATACACCTTGAACATCTTTGTCTTTGAGTCAATGTTGATTACTTCTCAAACGCTATTAGTTTCTTTGCTCAGCATACAAAAAAACTTCAACGTGTAGGCGGATTTTTTTATGGAAGCTGTGACTTATAAATTATGGACATTAAAATTTAGTGCGACTGGGAGAATGTAGCGGATCTACTAAATCACAAACTGACTACTACCAGATTGAAATGCCAAATGTATAATTAGTAAAGCTAATATAAAAAACTATCATTCTAACGTTTATCTACATATCTAATTTTCGACTTTTTTACTTATATTATTAGTTCCAGTTTGAGTGTACCGCGTGAAAATATTTGTCCGGGGTTTTCGAAAATTAATTGACGTAAAAAATAATTTTGTGTGCTTTGCTGTGCTATATGATCAGCCATGTGCAAACAATCCATGATCCTAGAAGCGAACTTTCCACTTTTCTATTCTTTTCCTTCGGGTATGGCCGCTGAAAATGTAGTTTTTGAAGCTTTTGAAGTTTCTATGATTTAACGTGAAAGTGACTCGCCTGTGCCTGCGAATATTGGAAGAATTTTCGAAAATTTTCAGAAAATCAAATTAGTCTTGTAAGAAAATTTTTCTGGGAGCGGCTGCCGCCACATCCCCTTCTTCTAAAATTTCGGGGTATGCCCCACAAAATTTTGAGAAGCATCCCAAAAAAATTTCTGGAGTGCGTGGATTTGTCGCCTCCCCCCCCCCCCCTCTCCACCACCCCTCTCGAACGGTGCTTCCACTAGCTGTGAGAGATATAAAATTGCTTTATCACTTTTCCTTCATCTCTTTTGATGAATAGCTCTATTCTCCAGTTTGCGACACTTTAGTCAAAATAAGAATCATCAAAACATACTCTGGAAATGCTAATAGGGCTACCATCTGCAAAAAACATATTTTGCTTCATTTTAGTACGAGGTGTGATGTCATGTTTAGATGGTGTAATCTAATACTGTAAATATGCTGATCTCAAATTTCACTAAACTCATTTATTCCAGGAATCTCCCACTTTCTATCGCAATCTCTATCACTACATGCACAATTATCTATGTGCTCACGAATGTAGCTCTATACACTGCGATCTCACCTGATGAAATGCTTGAAAGCCCGGCTGTGGCTGTGGTAAGTATCCACTATTAAATTTACAATCCAAAAGTAGACTTATGAATCTGCTTTAGTTATTCGCGAACAAACTCTTCGGACCGTTCGCATTTTGCATGCCACTGTTTGTTGCTTGCTCCACTATTGGAACCGCCAACGGAGTTATCTTCACTTCATCAAGGTAATTAGCAATTCTGGTCTCACAAAGATTTGAGAGATTTGGCAACCTTGCAAGTTTCGTAATCTATCAGTCCTGACAATCACAGACTATGCTATTACTATTGTTTATGCCGAAATAAAGTGCAAGTACTCAAACATTTGAATCCTATTCGAGTTTCGAGTATCAATTGCGCTAATTTTAGGCTTTTCTACGTTGGAGCACGCGAAGGGCAAATGCCGTTGGTATTAACAATGATCAACAAACATACAAGAACTCCCATTCCAGCAGTCATTGTAATGGTGAGTCATCAAACTAGAGCTATGGTAGCAGTAGCAAGTTCACAAACTTTTTCGGGTAAGGGGAAGGGGACGACAGAACTCTGAAAAAATTCTTGGCGGCTTTTTATAGGGAGTTTGTGAACCTAATATTTCAAGAGCAAGAGGGCGGATGATATACAAAAAGGAAAAATCGTTTTGCAGTGCCTGTCTGATTTATGAAGTTCATAGAATTTCGTACTGTAAGCAAAAATAGGTTATTTTTTGTAGAATATTTTGGTGTTAGTGGACAGTTGCAAATTAATTCAATAACTATTTCTACAACCTTCATCAAACAGGATTTTTTGTTTTTCGTGTAAAAGATCTATTTTTAGGGTGCCCTCTCGTTGGCATACCTTATCCTATCTAAGAATGTCTATTCTTTAATCAACTATATTCAAATCACTTACTGGTTGGCCATAGCAGCAGCTATCGCTGCATTGTTCTGGCTCCGAAAGACAATGCCTAATGAGCCTAGGCCAATTAAGGTAAATTCTTCAGTTTTTCAGAATTTTTCCGAGAATTATGGAGACAATGTAATTCTGTCTAGGTGAATCTCTTTTGGCCAGCAATTTTCCTCGTTGGATGCTTGGCATTGGTTTTCATACCAATTATGGCTGCACCAAGGGATACCGGTAATTCACAACTGCATAAACAACTCATACTGGATTTTCTTGAATTTTTTTTACAGCTATTGGACTTGCGATTATGTTCTCTGCGGTGCCCGTGTACTTGATCTTTGTTGCTTGGAAGAACAAGCCAAAGTTTGTGGAAAAACTTTCTGGTAAGTTCCTTTTAACCATTATTTTCGTTGTCCAAATTGTATCAAATACATTCCAGAATCATTTACCGTTCTCGTGCAAAAACTATTTATGGTTGTTGAAGACAACAAGGAGGATTAGGGTCGTTACTAGCTGTAGCTGTAATACTAACTCTTAGATTAACTCTTCTTTTATAAGCGTATGTGTTTATTTCGCGCGCGCGCTGCTCACTTATCAAGTCTGAAATTTTGCTCTTATTGTCGTTTTTCCTGATTTCTGCCTCATATCTACATGTATTTGTTCGATTTGTTTTGCACGATTGTGATTCATGGGTTAATTGACAGTTTTTCTGAACAGTTTCTGAATTTTATTCGCATACACTGAGTTGTGGTACATGCTTTAAAGTTTTAGAATGACTCAGTATAAAAAGAATGAAAATTTAGATTGTGTATTACTTGTGGTTGTAAAGATGATGTATTTATCAGCTTGAAATATAGACTCGAGGCGTAGCCAACGTCTCCAATTCATCAAAAAAAAACGCCCACTCCTCCCTCCCCCTTCCCCCTCGCTTTTACAACTTTAGAGCTCGAGAACAAAGCAAAATAGGAAAACTAGTTATCTTTTCTTGTATGCTATACAGAGCTACGTAGACTTGATTGTATCAAAGAACAGCAGATTGCTTTCTTGACCGGGAACTTAAGGACCGTAAAAATCCATAAATAAGGAATGGGTTACTTGATTACTCGCGGGTTACTCGCGCCAAGCAACGTTTGAAGATTTTGCACTTTTTCATGCCTGGATCCCCCAAATGAGTAACCGCGGGACCTTGCGTTTCGGTTATTCGGAAATATTTCGCAAATTTTTGGAGTGGTAGATCTTGTTTCCAAAATATGTGCGAAACCCATCTTGTTTTCAGCAGACGTCAGACAAACATGCAACATGCAAAAGTCTATACAAAACTCTTTTTGGAGCATAAGTTCAAAGCAGTGAAGGCTGCAAAACTAATAAAATTTGGCACTTCTACAGCGCGCAATAATAACTCAGTAAGTTTGGTGTACTTTACTAATTGAACAAAAGCTTTCTGATTGTCTGTTATTGCACAAACTTCATGAAGAGATTCGTAACCACTGATTGTTTTCCCTCCTATATTAAGGAACAGATGGGGTAACAGAAATTTGAAAGTAATTGAAATGAGATCTGCTTTCATGATTGTAAGTTCGCTACATACTGCTGTTCGAATTCAGTCAAATATTCTTTTTAAGGCTGTCCTTACCAGCGAAGCTTTCCTCGGTTATGGATACGAAGGATTGACTAATAATGAGATAGAAGAACCGGTTCATCGCAATCCTCGTGCGCCCCCCGGTTTTCAACGTTTGTCAGGGAAATGGTCCTTAGAATACGAAGATGAGACTCAAAATGATACTATCAAGTATACCGACGAAGACGAAACTAACGACCTATGGGAGCTTCTGAAGAGATTTTCTAATTTAAATGGTGGAAAGATGGGGGAAGACCTCAAATAAATCACTCTATGAATGAAGGTCTAATATCAATCACTTCGAGTATCATCACCACACTTCCACATGTTTAAAATTTACAAATACTAGCTCTTACTTCATGCTTACATTCATAGTCAACTATCTCTTTTTGGCGCCGTTTTCAAATGAGATTAAATTTATAACGTTTTTTCGCCTAAAAACCATGCTTCGGCGATTTGCATGTGATACAGATATATGACTTTGCAAGATCAATCGGTCATAAACGCACTTCTGCGGGCCAAAAGCCATTTGGATCCTCATCGTGGGTAATTTTTGAAGGATTCGCTTTTCAGATCCGCTTGTGCTATTGCGTGGTAAATCTAGTTGGCAGCGTTTGCTATGCAAAGGAAGATGTGGCTTGAAACCTTGTCTACAACTCTTTTGAAGGCAGAGCAATGCATATCAAACTGATGAGCTCAATTTACGATCGCGTAAACAAGAAGTTTCTAGCCTATACTCTTGGTTGCCCAAATCTGACGCACAAGAAAGTCTTCATTTGCAAGTAAGGAAGTAAAAGTGATGATTATGTCCAAAAAGTGTGGTCGAATTGGCTTGAAGACTTCCATTTCCTACAATCGTTTTGGATGCCAAATCGCTACAAAGGTCTCTCATTGGAGGAATTAATAGGAAAGGAAACATGCGACCACCTCCACCCTATTCATTTTGTGTGTATGGCTGATAGTCACTGTCATAGTAGCGAAGATGAGAGCAAATCTAAGTTGTCATCAAGCTACAGTGGCAATTCTTTGATCAAAGAATTTTCTACATCTTCTTTTCAAACTACCATGTCAAAATCGTATTTGTTGCACAAACACACCATGTTGGTAGAAATATAGTGATCTCATATAAATTAGCAGCATTATGGCTGGAAGGCGGGGCTTCGTGACCTAGAAAGGCGACCGCTCGCTTCCGCGACGTAATCTGCACCGACAACTGGATTGTCCTCGACAATTTCCTTTAACTTAAGCAGTTCTCGATTTTCGTGAGCGGAAACCCATTCGGAATGGAAAATTGGAGTTAGCCTTCATCTTCCTCGCAGAAATGCTCAAACTCTTGATATCTGCAAATACTGTGTTGTACTACCATGAACATTTGATTTGTCATTTGATCCTAATATGTATTACCAACATGAAGCGGGCTCTAAACTGTTGTGATGTGGTGAGCTACAGTTCTAGCTGCCTCCGTACTACTTCCTGGTATGCACACGCCATTAATTGACGTTGACAGGGCTTAGCGAGGCGATGAAAACACTTGGTCTCTATTCTACAGAAAAGGCTTCGAAAGATTTTCAAGAAAACTTTGACAGTGCGCAGATAGCATTTCACGAATAGAATTTATCCGCTGTGCCCCCAAGTCTTTTAGCAGCACTGCTTCAAAAACCATGCACGGACACGGCGAGGAGCATGAATAGCAGATTTATTCCATTTTATTGCGCTAAAGGCAGCTTTCTTGAGCATTGTTATAAATTTTCTACTCACAAGGGAAGTACCTTGAGTGGCCGTGGCCTTTTAATATCAGATGCATAATGTCTGAAGCAGCTTCGAACGCTGATTTCAAATCTGCTTTCCGTTTCTGCGGAACTTTCTTCTGAAGAGAGTTATGGAAGCCTGAAAATCCTATTTTGGAGGCGCTCCTTGAGTTTGAGAGCGCTGCTATGTGCGTTGGTGGTGCAGTGGTGGAATGGTTAATTGTTGGCATTGAAGGCGAAAGGTCACTGGTTCGAATCCGGTGCAGAGCGAACCGTTTTGCATTATGAATGTGAGTTTAAAAAGCACTCTAATTCGTCTACAGACACTGTTGTAGGCAAATGTGACCTAAGAAAAAATTTTTGGCAGAACTGCTTGTAATGAGACCCTGAACTCTACTTGACTTCTTTACAAGTAAAACAGGACCAAACATGGTGAAGCATGTTCATTACCACATAAAGCTCAAAAAATGCACACTGTCATTAGTCGAAAAGATGTTCTCTCCTGTTTATGCTAAGGCATTATAGTAAGTGTCTGCAGACGAATTAGAGTGCTTTTTAAACTCACATTCATAATGCAAAACGGTTCGCTCTGCACCGGATTCGAACCAGTGACCTTTCGCCTTCAATGCCAACAACTAACCATTCCACCACTGCACCACCAACGCACATAGCAGCGCTCTCAAACTCAAGGAGCGCCTCCAAAATAGGATTTTCAGGCTTCCATAACTCTCTTCAGAAGAATGTTCCGCAGAAACGGAAAGCAGATTTGAAATCAGCGTTCGAAGCTGCTTCAGATGATATGCGTCTCATATTAAAAGGCCACGGCCACTCGGGGTACTTCCCTTGTCAGTTTCTTAATCGAGTCAAAACTTACTTCGATACTTACAATTAGATGGCCCGTTCTCAAGTGACGTGCGGGCCCCAGTACAGAAGTTTCCACTCATTCCTGTCCTTCACTTCGGACATCCACGATCTTGGTTGTCTTCGGCACGAGTTCCAGAAGCGAAAACGTATCCAGCTAATTTCTCAGCTGGCCCATCGGCTCCACGAACACGTCTGCCCATCTCGTTGGTGGTCTTCCTCGGGGACGTTTGGCTTTGCGAGGAATCCACTCAGATGTTCCTAGTGTCCATCTGTCGTCTTCTCATGATGTGACCGGCTCATCAGTGCTACGCTTTCGCAACGTATTCCGCTGGGTCACGAAGGCGGGACATTCTTCTCATATCCGTACTGCGAAGTTCGAATTAGATGTTGCTTGTGTCGGTTCATCTTCAGAAAACTGCGCTCGAGGGCTCGTGGGTGGTCCGTAAAGCTTTCAACGTGGCTACAGTGTCGGCCCAAGTCTCAGCTGCGTAACAGAGCGCCGGGAGAACGTTTGAGTCGAACAGGTGGGCACGAAGCTCAGGGTCCGTCAGTTGGTCGGTGGGTTCAATGAAATGCCCGAAGGCGATCCAAGCTGCTTTTCTTCTCCTGTTAAGTTCTTCCCTCAAGTCGTTTTTCATGTTCATCGAACGTCCGAGATACACGTAAGAAGAGTTCTCCATAATAGGAGTGCCTTCCAGTTCCATTTCTGCATCTCCGCAAAGGGCGTTCTTCATGAACTGAGTCTTCTTCCGATTTATTCGCAGTCCTATCTTCTTCCCTACTTTGTTTAGTTTCTTCAGCATCGTCTCTGCTTTAGTGATACTGCTCGAAAAGAGAACGATGTCGTCCGCAAAACGAAGGTTCGACAGGAATCTCCCATCAACTCGTATGCCTCTCTCGTCCCAGTTCAGTGACTTCATCACCCACTGCAAGGCCGCGGTGAACAGCTTCGGCGAGATTGTGTCGCCTTGTCGGACCCCCTTCCCGGTTGGTATGGTCAGGGGGCGATGGAATAGCTGCATCGTTGTTGTAAGTTCTTGTAGCAGTTGGCTGGTGTCCTCACGTAGGCTGGGCTCCACTTTTCGATCGACTAACGCTGACAGGATGGCGTTGGTTTCGACGCTGTCGAAGGCTTTCTCGTAGTCGACGAAGGTTAGGACGAGAGGCAGTCGGTACTCCCGGCAGCTTCTATGACCCTTGAAACCGCCTGGATATGGTCCATGCAGCCGAATCCTTTGCGAAATCTAGCTTGTTTCTGGGGTTGAGCTTCATCCAGTGTCCTAGATGTGCGAGCGAGGATAATCTTCGTGAAAAGTTTTTAGAGCACACTCAGCAGGCATAGTAGACGGTAGTTACGAAGATCCTCCCGTTCACCCTTCTTGAAGAGAAGGACGGTTCTTGACGTTCTCCATTGGGTGGGAATCCTCTCCTCCTGAAGGTAAGATGGTAAGATGTCAGGTGCGACGCGAGATTCTCGTGTAGACGTTGTCCTCCAGCTCGCAGAAATTCAGAAAGATGGTCTGGTCCTGGAGCCATGGATGTCCTAATGGTCTGGTGTGCGCACTTCAGCAGTAAAATTCGTGGGTGTACTTTTCCAGTGGAACAACGAGCATCGGCACGGCGGTTGATGAGCGGAAGAGGTTGGTGTAGAAGTTCTTCGCGATAGATTCTATGTATCAGGAAGAAGTCGGAGCCCTGTCTTCGTTTAATAGTGCGGTACGTGATATTCACAGAGGTCCTTCGGCACTTCTTAAGACTTCGTCTTCCCTCGGCTGCTTCCAAGTATCTTGGCTCGCCTGTACTTCCCGAGATCCTCTTGCAAAGTCGTTCTGCAGCTGGTGTTGGCTATCAGTCGCTCGCGATGGGTTGCATTCGGATCCTGTCTCAGAAATTTTCTTCTTTCGAGCAACTCCTTGGTGGTCTTCAAAATGCATTCCAAGTGCTTCTCAGAAGTCACTGAGGCGCGCTCTCCACAAGCTCGCAATCCTTTCAGAAGCCGGTCGTAATCGTAGGTTGGGTCCTCCTCGATGGCCCAGTCATAACTTGATATAAGCTCTTTCAGCCTGTTGCCGTCATAAACGACTTCCTTCTCGCGGCACTGTGACAGACTTTCTTTCCCTGCTTTCGTCTGAGTCGTATCTTCGCTAGAAGGAGGTGGTGATCGGAGCCACTGCAAAAGGATGGAACCACTGAGATATCGAGCAAGCTCCACCTTCGGTTGGTGAGAACGTGGTCGATCTCCGCATGAGTCGTTCCGTTGGGCGGTTCCTATGTCCATCGGCGATGTTTTTTCTTCATGAAGATGGAATCATGGAAAAGTCGTGCGGCGGAAGAGAAGCCCAACAAGACGATTGCCGTTTTCTTTCCGGAGCCCATATCCAAACTTCCCGATCCTATATTCCTTTTCTGGTGGCATACCGATTTTCGCATTGAAGTCACCCACAACATACTTCTAGAAGGACTTTTCGTCCTCCTCCACGTCTTCGTAGAAAGCATCTAGTTCTGAGTCGTCAACCGCTGATGTTGGAAAGTAGCTGATGATGCTGATGATGCTGATGATCTTCTCACGTGGAGGGCGTAGTCGTAGGATGGCTAGTCGAGGATTTCATGCGAATCAGTAAGTCGGATGACTGATGGGTGGACGAGAAAGCCAACGCCTCCCACGTTTCGTGAGGAAACTTTTTCACCACAAATGATGAGCGTCCCATCACTCATCTGTCGCACGTCCTTCTGTCTCTCTTTCTGGGCTTCGTTCCCTGCAGAGCGATGATGTTTTACTTGATGCGCTCCGCAGCGTCGAGAAGACCGTGAAGGTCGGCGTTTGTAGAGACTGTCCTGGCGTTGTAGGTGCAGAGCATGAGGGAGTCTCTAATGCGTGTAGTCCGGGCAGAAGTGTTGTTTCTGTCCAATTTAAAAGACGCACTGAGGACCCTGAGTCGTTCTTGCTGCCACCCGAAGCCGTAGGCGAGATCCGATACACAGGGTATCTTTCTATTCTTCTAACTGGAGGAATAATGAAATTTTTCCCCTACAAGAGCAAACTTACCAGGCCTACTCTTCTTCCACGGGCGATCGCTGACCCCGGGCTTGGAGCGGGGAGAACCGCCTAGCGACCAGAAAACCAGACGGCGGTGGATCTGGCCTGGCCGGCTCTCAAAGGCAGTGTCCGGGCAAAAACTCGATTTTGAGATTTTGTGCTTACTTGGGCCTATTCGCTACGCTGAATCCGAAAATGCACATTGTAGAGCGCGGAAATGGCGAAAAACGGCTCTAACACAGGAGGGAAATGAGCAGGTGGGCGGGGTCCTCCCCACTGCGAATTCACGTTCCCGGCTTCCGGAGCGTCCTTCTCGCTCCCGGTTTCAAGTCAATCATTCGCACTTAGCCGGTAGCGATGTTAGAACGGCTAGCGGAATCGAGAAAATCGCTCCGGGGGCTGGGAGCGTGAAATCGCACTGGGGAAAGCCCCGCCCACCTGCTGATTTCCCTCCTATGTTAGAGCCCTTTTTCGCCGTTTTCGCGCTTTCCAATGTATATTTTCGGATTCAGCAGGGCGAATAGGCCCTTATGAGCACAAAATCTCAAAATCGAGTTTTTGCCCGGACACTGCCTTTAATTAGGCATCCGGCCGAAACCTGAAACATCGAACTCCTTCCAAGCTTGGGGCCCTATCAGAATATACACTCGGCTGTGCATCGCAGTTTGACACAAAGTGTCATCCCCACGCCACGAGGAGGCGGCTGACCATTGTGGGGGGTGAAAATATCTCGAAGAATAAAGTTTTCAGTCTGATTTGACGATTGAGTAATCGTTCACAATATTACAAAATGTAAGCTCAGAATGGAGAATGATAAAAAGGAGAAGAGTAGCAATATACTTCACGACCGTGCATTGTAATAAAAAATTTGTTTCGACGTCTTCGTTTTTTACTAAATTGTGGATCTTCAGTTACATATAACCCTCCCCCCCCCGCCCTTACCTACCCACAAAATGGGGATTGCAATGCTATAATCATCCTCAATCAGTACAAAAATAATTGAGCTACTCCAGGCGAAATTACACGAATGAATGTCAGAGCGATAAGACCTAAGCAAAACAAAAATCGAAGTCGAAGCCTGTCTCATTTTTAACTGCATGTCCCTCGAATACGAGGATGAAAGTGAAGAGGATAGTCTTGTCCTTGCTAAGGTAAAGCTACTTGCCTTTTTTCTAAATCAGAGATAGCTTACGATCCTGGATCTTACCTTTCACAGGTGGCCTTTGCGCGTACAGGCAGATTTCTGAGTTACTGGGGCTAATTTCCAAAAACTCAAAAGCATTGAATTTTCTCTGCTTCAGTTGTTCGCTTCCCCAATTTGCACCCTACTGATTCTCCATTCCTGTATCTTGTTGGAGCTCTTTTGAATTTTCAAAGCGCTTTGAACTTGGAAGGGATCGTACGTATTCAAGCGCCTTAGCTCCTATTCAAATTGTTATTGCAAAGCATACTACTCAACTTTCTGTACTGCGTCAATGAGCTAATGAAGAGCAAATTTATAGCACATTCGACGAAGTATACAGAGACGAGTGAAAAGTGAATTACGCACCGTTTTAGCATTCATATCAGGGCCTCATTTTGACGACCGGAAGAAATACCTATATTGTGCAAAACCTTCTCGCTGAGGGAACGTTTGGAGCTATCTATAAGTTAGATTTGTTCTCTTATAGTTGTGATAATCGCCCTTCTGACAATTCACTCTATTTGGCAAAGCTTTAAGGGTGGCAGAAAAACAGCGTCCCTCAGATATTCGCGCTATGAAGATAGAGAAAAATATAGAAGATAGAACCAGATCAAAACTAAGGACCGAGGTAGGAAAAGTAACAAAAAGATTCTTTTCTCGTATAGGTTTATGGGAAACCCTCCCTATAACAGAATCTTTTAGATTATGATTTTACAAAGGCTTGGCGGTAAGACTCATTTTCCTATCCTGTTCGACACTGGCACTCAAGAAACATTCACTTTTTTGATAATGGAATTGTTGGGCAAGAATTTAGCGGATCTGAAGAAAGTGCGACCTCATGAGGTTGGTCCGCTTTCCAATGATAGTTGCAGTAGGTATGCAAAATCGAAACGCCTTTCCATTTGCATCTCCATCATATGTGTTCCCGATAGACATTGAGGGTTGCGTATAGAATGCTGGAGGACTTTTTCCAGAATTTTCCAGATGTTTGTCTTTAGCAGCTTGACGTCTTTTTCAAGAGGAGACCACTGAGTGAAGTGATTTTGAAAAGTGACGTCATCAGTGGATAACTCAAAGCGCTGCATTTGTGTATTCTTCTATATTCGCAACTTTTCCCTCAGTAGGATTATCTGCTCACTTCTTTTGATCCATTTGAGCGTACAAGCATGAGAGCAGAGGATGTGAAAGTTGAGCCTTTCGCGAACACCTCAATCTCACTTGAACCCATGGGCACAGAATCCAATGATTTCAAGATAAGAGTCGTTGTGGTACCCTATGGCCATAACTGTGTGAACATGCACCCTCTGGTGTGCATTGGGAATTGTTAATTGGGCAGGCATGGAATGCCACCGCATAGAAGGGCGCATATGTCAGAGTTTCTGAAGCGGTTTTCTAGCTATTGCAGCAGAATGGTGCGATGCCACTTGGGCCAGAGCTGCATCAGGATGAACGCTACTTTAATCTACGTTTTATCCTTGATAGTCTTAATTTTCCGATGCCCGAAGCCAGCCTTCAAATATGGTAATGTCCACGAAGAAGCATGCACATTCAACCAACTTCTTCGTCAGCATCGCTTTTGAGTAATGTCATTCGAAAATGTTCAGCTGCGCTCCACATGGTGTTATCCACAGGCCGTCATTCTGTTCTTAGCCCCCACTGCCAACTCAAATATAAAACTGTCATGGCTTTCATTGAAAAACTCTTTTCGTTGATAAAGGAGGCATATTATTGCTTTGCGAGCCCTGACCATCATGTTAGTTGTTTCCAGATGACCAGTCTGGTTAAGTGATGTCTTTATTAAGCATCTTTGTCCTTTCTAACCATAATCTTTGTCAATACAGCGTCAATCGTTATCAATCAAACATTTTCCATTCACAGGTATTTTCTCTTGCGACGGGACTAAGCGTAAGTTGTCAGTGCCTCGAGGCTTGTCGAGAGTTGCACTATGCCGGTTATGTCCATCGTGACGTCAAGCCAGCCAATTTTGTCTGTGGACGTGGAAAGAAATTAAGGACGGTGAGATTTGAAAGCATACCTTATCAGTCTCCATCATGAAAATGATTCATTTGAGGAACTCCCATTTTGCAGATTTACATGCTGGATTTCGGCATATCAAAGAAGCTCGTTCCAGTAAGCAAAGAGGATTTATCACAAGGCCGGCGGTTCAGGGTGCGTCGTTGCATATGCCAAACCAATTATACTATGATGCGCAGGGGTTTATTTTGTTGTAAGCATGAAAATCTCCCTTACAAAATCCCAGTACGGAATTATGCCAAATGGTTGTGCTTCGACATCTATCACGTAGGTTCAGCATTGGAAATAGTGGATACTTGTTTTGCAAGACAAGTATCCACTAGCTTTGACCTCCTTGGCAATTGAACAATTTGCGAAGTCACAATCGTTTGATTTTTGCAAGATTTATAAATTCCTAATGCTGGATAGAACAAATGCTTGTTGAAACTAATGAAGCTAAAGATAGATTGTGTGCAAGAAAAAATTCCGGCTCCGCTATATCCCAGTTACAGAGAAATTGATCAGCAAATTTCAGGGCACCATCCGTTATGCGTCTATTCCATGTCACATGTGCGAGGAGCTTGGCCCACGTGATGACTGCGAATCATGGCTGTACATGATGGTCGACCTCCTATCCCCACTTAGTGAGTACGCCCAAAAAGTTTCAACATTAGGTAACGTCTCGGAGTCCTCCTTGTTTACCCACCCATGTTCACCCACCTTGCAATTTTCAAAGGTAGTGTCCACCCAGATTCGCACACATGGGACTCGCACATGAATTCTAATTTTAGAGACTCAACTATATTGTGACCTTGGTAACGTATTCGGAGGACGACATGCACTGGGTTGCATGTGCTGCGCAAGGATCTACCGCCCATGTGATAGTTCTCGGCGCGTGATAGTTCTCCGTGCAAGCCGATGGAAATCGTCTGCTAAGCAGTACTGGGGACAAATGCCTAAACATCGCCTTATAGCAGAGTGGTCGAGCCCCACAATGTTAATGATGTTGGCATTCTCTACTCAAAGCACCTTATGTGCCACCTGACCCGTTATGAGGAAGAATATCATGACTTATAATAAGGCGCTAAGCGTCTGTCTGTTTGTTTGTCTGTCTGTATGTCTGTCTGTCACGAAATTTATATAGCGAGATGGCGCCAATATCTTGAGTTAAATTTTTTGTCATAGCACGCTATCAGCGTGTAAATGAACAGTGCAAATGCACAAGCCGATCCAGTAAGTGGAACCTCGAAATCTGTGCTTCAAACAGACCCAAGCGACTTTTGGTCCGCCAAAGTGGGTCGGTAATAGAACTTTTTGCAAAGTCGTGGATTTGTTCAACAAGTAAATCCGAATAGCATTGACTTCAGCCCAAAAAATAAGCAAAAGGCCTATTTTTACACAAAATCGGCGGCAAAAGGGTGTAACTGCGCAAATTGTCAATTCGCCAGGTTTTTACTTTGAAAATTGAAAGGATTTTTGAATAGAGATGTAGCCCAAGTGATTGTTAACCTTATGACGACTATGAAGCCAAAATAGTTCCATTAACCCATTCAAAATCGCTTATATTCTTCTGCGGGAAAATTCTTCTTCCAAAATTACCCATCTTATATAAAGTTTTGAAAAATGGACGTTTACTTACGGCAGGCGCTGTACTCCTCGACGAGTATAGCATGGCGACGATCGATATGCATCAAATACGTGTAAAACCGGCGATTTTTGTGCCGATATTGGCGATCACCACTCGTAGCGACTGGCGATCGCCAGTTTTCGGCGACTACACGGCCGATCGCCAATCGCCAAACAAGTTACCACACGTCAAATCGATACGCATCAAACGCCGAAAAGTCGCCGAAAACTGGCGATCGCCCGCTACGGCTGGCGATCGCCAGTCGTTTGTGTTGGCGACTACACATCAAATGTATATCGATTGGACGTGTGGTAACTTGTTAGCGATCGATACGCATAGAAGACACAGTCGCCAGGGTTGGCGACTGGCGAACGCCAGTCGTAACGACTGTCGATCGCCCGTCGCCATCCTATACTCCTCGAAGAGATAGCGCCTGCCTACATTTCATTCGTGATGATCGGCATCGCGCGGTGAGTTTCAAAGTCGTTATTATACAATCACGATGAAGGCATAGAATAGCAGAGTCAGTGCGAAGCTCTGCGAAGCAGAGGTGACGCACTAATAAATCTATAAGAACTTTCCAATTATTCTAAATGATTAATTCTTTAACGATTTCCTCTTGTTACCATTCAGGCGTGCCATGGAGAAATGCGGGACACAGAAATGTTGTTTTGAGAATCAAACAAGAAGTACGTCGTGATAAAAGGGTGAGCTCGATATGATATCACTGTAAAAGTTAACTCGTATGCACATGTGTTTGAAATTTGCAACACATTCTTCTTCTCTACTTTTTGGTACAAGCCGCAAATTTCAAAATCGATGCTAGACGCAAGAGAAAGCTTTTGAAAAAGTCGAGTCGCAGAAAATCCAGTTTTGTACGCTGATTTCCGCATGAATCTTCACTCACTTCACTTCGAAACTTATGTTAATGTCCTCTCTGAGACTATTCTTTCATGATAAACTTGTCGCTGTCGCTACTATGACTTGACCTTGCATCAACGTCAACCCTTTTTTCGAACGAGGTGAGAATCTACGATCTACACGCTTTCGTTCTACGTAGATTCACAGATAATCGCCGAGGGCAGGCGGCCATGCGAATTATGGGCTGGCGGGCATTGAAAATAGTTTGCTGATTTCTTGCGGTCCGCTTGCACATATTTCGAAGAATTTTAGCGGAATTTTAGACGAATGCTTGGAGAACAATGCGGTCTCCTTATAGATTAGCTGCGGCGCGGTGGCTGCATTCTCGCGGACTCCGAGAACATGCAATTTTATTGAGGGCCGCACGGTCCTTTGTGGAGGACCGCGCAAGCCCCAGTACTTTCCGCTGAGAGAAAGTACCTCAAACTTGAGTGTTCAAACCATCGATGACACCTCTGCCATGTAGAGTCTCACCTTTGCGTACTCCCTAAACTGCTTAAAAACCGTCAGAGCGCCAGCTGAAAATTTGACCAGCGCTCGCCGAAAGAGATTATTTGACGAGCGCCTGCAGAAAATTCTGTGTTGCTGCCCGCTGGCAGAACAATAGACAGTAAAAAAAGCACCGCTCGCTGAAGGTTTGGCCACGCCCCAAAATTCTGCTAACCGCTTGCACCAAAGCGCGAGTTTGCGGACCGCCTGCCCTCGGCGATTATCTGAGTTGTTGAGCTCAAATGGTGACAAGAAACAAAGCACTCTTCGGATTCATTTGCGAAACTGACTTTCTAGAGTCATTACAAATCGCATATCTCTGAAGTTGCTGCTAAGTATTTCATTCTTGAACTTGCGGAAAATAAAATGGCTTATGTGCAACACTCTCTGAACAGAGACGGGCATAAAAGAGGGGATCACAGTAAAACTAGAATGCATCATGATTGAGCTGTTGTATATGTAACGAACACGTGACAAGTGAAAATAAATCTTGCAGTTATATTGGAGCAATCAAGGTATGTTACTCTAAAGATGATTTAGGATCTCTTTGTTTGCGGTATAAAATGTAAGAAAAGCATACTTGCAATAATGGATTATATTGATACACTGAAACGCATGACTCCAGTCGATTACGCATTCATGCTTGAAGCGATCGAGAAGGTTTGCATTCAAATCTTACGTATCTTATATATAAAGCTGAATGTCTGTTTGTATGTATGTCTGTATGTCTGTCTGTATGTCTGTGTGTACGTATGTTCCGAATAGAAAATTCCATTTCTGAACCGATCCGGACCAAACTTGGCACACATACACTTCGGGCCCCGGCGGGTGTCATAGGCTACTTTTCGTCATCTATCGATATCGATTTTATCGATTTTTATCGATTTTTTTGCTGAGTTCACCTACGGGGCTGGGAGTTGGCACAGGGGGTAATCGAGCATGGGGATTCCGAATACAATATTGGTTTTCAGGATTATCAATTACTTTTATCGATTTTATCGATTTTTTTTGCAAAGTTTGAGCTACGGGGCTGGGAGTTGGCACAGGGGGGTAATCGAGCATGGGGATTCCGAATACAATATTGGTTTTCAGGATTATCGATTACTTTTATCGATTTTTTTGCAAAGTTTGAGCTACGGGGATGGGAGTTCGCACAGGAGGGTAATCGAGCATGGGGATTCCGAATACAATATTGGTTTTCGGGATTATCGATTACTTTTATCGATTTTATCGTTTTTTTGCAAAGTTTGAGCTAGGGGGCTGGGAGTTGGCATAGGGGGGTAATCGAGCATGCTGTCGCGGATTCGCGACTTCCTTCAAAGGTCGCCGCCGCCGCCTCGCGAAGGGTCCCAAAACGCCGTCCTCGCGTTGCCCCGCCTCTCACCTCTCTTACCTTCGCAGCTTTCGCTTAAGTCACGTAATCATTCTTCGCAGCTGCCGTCACAGTGAGCGGTCGGGTTCCAATCGTCTCTTGCCATCGATCGATTAGCGCTACCCCATCTCACGCGTCAAGTCTATCAACGCCACGGAGGACTGGCTCCCGCGCAGCGAGGTAACCCCGAGCGCGATCGCGCCTGGCACACGCCGGCGACACCGCCTCGGGGGGTTTCCGATATTGCCGACCCCTAGGCTAACATCTGGTCGGTTGTGCTCATCCTGTATGTTTGAGTTTAGGGATTATATGCGGATAAATGGTGGGCATTGTACAGGTGTGATATGTGTATTGGTGCGGTGACCACAGCACGACTGTGGCTCCGGAATATTACCTCATTATGTCGTGTGCATATTTTATAACCATGCCCAGTGGGAAACATCAGTGAGAGGGCTGGCATGATGCTAGCTAAGTGCCAGGGTTATAAGTGCACGCCCCAATCGTCGGTAGTCTTGAGGACGGTCAAGCCGCAGGTGTCAACAACTGCCAAGTAGGCTGGTGGCAAGGGCCACTACGTGTGTAGGGAGTACCCTTGTGGCAGGCCCCAATGAGCATCACACAGGTAGCCACCTCACGGGATACGCTCACTTACTCACGGTGCGGACCCCCGGCTCCCCTCGCCGATGCAGGAGAGCAATTGTACCACTGACGTTGGGAGCTGGGGGCCCAATCCGCGACACATGCTGATCATCCCCAAGGGGGGTGATCAGCATGCTCGATTACACCCCTGTGCCAAATTCCAGCCCCCTAGCTCAAATTTTCAAAAAATCGATAAAATCGATAAAAGTAATGGACGATCTTGAAAACTAATATTGTATTCGTAATCTGCATGCTCGATTACCCCCTGTGCAAACTCCCAGCCCCGCAGGTCAAACTTTACAAAAAAATCGATAAAATCGATAAAAGTAATGGACGATCCTGAAAACTAATATTGTGTTCGTAATCAGCATGCTCGATTACCCCCCTGTGCAAAATCCCAGCCTCGCATGTCAAAATTTACAAAAAATCGATAAAATCAATAAAAGTAATAGATAATTCTGAAAACTAATATTGTATTCGGAATCCCCATGCTCACTTCCCCCCTGTGCCAACTCCTAGCCCTGTAGGTGAACTCTGCAAAAAAATCGATAAAAATCGGTAAAATCGACATCGATCGATAACGAAAAGTGGACTGTGACACCCGCCGGGGCCCGAAGTGTATTTGTGCCAAGTTTGGTCCGGATACGGCGGAGCCGGGTAAGCCAGCTAGTCTTTCATAGAATCAAAACACATTTTGAAAGTGAAACGGACCTTATCATGAGTAATAATTACAATAAAGTTTCATTGGCACATCAAAATTATCAATTATTACAGTTAGGAGATGTACATACATAAATGACCACATAGTCAACCTCTACTCTTAAGAACTTGATGCGATTCAAAGTTTTATAGGATGCCAGACGACTAAAGTGCAATCTCACTGCGCCTTACGATTGGGAAACGGACTGGTAAGTGGAGGAAGTTTGAAGGCAGTTTTCGCGCGGTTGTAGTGTGTAAGATGTTAGCAGACTGTGAGAATGCACACTCTCGGACACTCTTCTCTAGCACAAGTGCGAGACCATGAAGCTGAAGCAGAATAAAGAGGTCCTCCTGGCTGGGAAATTTACGCTTTAGAAGAAAATCGCCTACCTGCGCATTTAAATTGCAAGCCAGAGTGCGCATGTCGTTACACCTCAGATGAGAGAATCACCGCTACTTGCATCGCAGCGCTGGAGAAAAAGAAATTTCCGTCCAAATTTGAATCGACGGGTTGTAAAAAACGCCTGTTGTCGCCATTTAACTTTCTGAGATGAATTTTGAGCTCCGCCTAGCAAGCAACAATTCGAAATTGAGTATCGTCTTGTGAGTAAGCTAAGGCTGTATGAACATGGTTGAGGATGTTAGAAGATAAAGGACTGATCTTAACTTACGCTAGAATATGTTTTGCCTGGTACCTCGCAATTACCCTATCTGTATATGTCTCACAGTGTATAAAAGTTTCTGCGTTTACCAAAACTAACGACTTCTCGAATGTAAGGTTTACCGGCTCTGGCACGGCCACGGTTCTAAGGGTAGTACGTCTGCCATACCTAGATAACAGTGGCGGACCGAGAATGGGCCGCAAATTTTCAAAATTTACTTGCATGGGTTATAAGAATGCGCAAGCGACTTGTTTATTCTTGTAAATAATTGAAATTATTTTCAAAAAATTTTTGAAATTTCATTAGCCCGGAAAAAACTTTCTCGGAAGCGTGAACCCAAAATTTTTTTGGAGTGCTTGATTAACGCCACGCACCTTTTGAAAAACTTTTCTGCCCCAACCCCATCCTGGGACCGCCACTGCTAGATAACTCTTTTTAAGAAAAGCAGTTCGCTTCTTCTCAAATGTAAAGTGCAGAATAGAGCTCAACCAAAGTGAGATTGGTGCAATACCCTTTCCTCCTTAGACTGGAATTTCTGACAAAGTACTGCCTTCACGGATTACTCTATATTCAAAAATATAGTCATCAAAAGTGACTCGAGTAGGCCATGAACGTCTTACGATACTGTAATAATCCAAATCAACAGAAGAAATACCAGAGTGCATTCATATTAATTTATAATAAAATTTCAATGGTTTACCTGGTCTATTGACTAGTCTTACAAGTCAGATTATAGTGTCGATGATTCACTTTTAAGCCAAAACGAATCACGGAAATCACGGTCGACCGACAAAACCGCGAACGTTATTCGAGAGGAAGGGACCCAACAGTCCGGTAAGATTATTTGTGCTACATATTCACGCAAATTCAGTAGTTTCCAGAGGAGAGAATGGAGCTTCTTGGACCAGCTAGCTCCGAGGAATCGCAGATGCTAGGAACAAGCACCCAAAATACCCAATCCGACTAAGTTGGTACCAAAAATGCTCTTTTCACACGTAATTTACTAGTCTATCATTCAGATTCCGCTAGAAATACTGTAATAATCCAAATAAACAGAAGAAATACCAAACTGCATTCGTATTAATTTATAATAAAATTTCAATGGTTTATCTGGTTGACAAATCGAACACACAAAATCTTCAGTTGGTTTTCGTTACAAGAATACATATATAGAATATAGCTCCCAACTTCTCATATACCACAGTAGCGGTTGGTGTTCAGCACATTTTAGCAATTCCTCCGATGCTTACACGGTAGCTACCAAATTCCCCTTACATGATCTTGCTCGATCAAGATCAGCTCATCCCCAGCTGACACTGCCGTTGACTACCCCTGACCGTATTCTAATAAGTAAGGACGTCCCATCGTTTATAAGAGGAATAAAAAGTTTGATTGGATTACTTACATTTACTCCAACAACACTGAATAAACTGGAGTTACTATACTGCATACAATCACATAAAATGAAAACGTGGAACGGCCGCATCACGTCATGATACCGATATCCCACACCCTTATCTCAAGCCAGATGTATCTCAAGGTTTACAGATCAAATCCGCCATAGCCGATTAATGTCCTACACCCTTCTCACTCCTGTTACAGTCGAGTAGATTTTCCGCTTGACATAGTGCGCTTGCAGTGAAGGTGAAAATGCGGTGAATTTGCGCGTAAACAGAAAGCCAGGCCAGTAATGCCAGCCTTTTGCGCGCGCAATTGGTCGGCGACACAAGCGCAGCTGTTTGTTCCCGCGCAAATTTCACCGCATTTCATCTTCAGTGCAAACACACTATATTAAGCGGAAAATCTAACCGTAATTCTCTCATTTGACCCAAAAAAGCCAATACATTCATTGCGCGACTAAGTTTTTCAAGTAATGAACGCTTATAAAAATATGTTCGATCGCTCAGATCAAACACCCCTATTGCGAGAGTTAACACGAGATCAACGTCTCAAGATCCAATTCGTGCACGAAAGAAAATTGATGGAGAAGAATGTAGGCAGACACCTGAATGAGACGCCTCCGCCATCGCTATAATCTTTGTTGGCTTCATGTCAGCGAGTAGGGGTCCGGAAGCGATTTCCGACTGGCATCTTGGCTAGTGTAATCGTCAACGAATTACGCGACAACTAGCGTTTCCGTCTTCATAATTCAAAAAAGCTCCTGCATCTCTAGCCATCACAACAACCACTCATAAGGCGAAATTAATCCTTGGAATTGGAGCAACTATTTTAGTACTAGCACATAAACACTCAGTGCACACATGGGAGTTCTCATTATGTCAAACGGCGCTTACGGTGTAGGAGATCATATGTAGCCGGAAGGAGCGACGCGGACATCTGCCACAGACCAGAGGCTCTACACAATACTGACAATACGGTTTGCAGCAGCCATCCGCGCGAGATGAAGCCTATCGGCGACATACAGACCTGCGCTCCCCGCGCTTACTTACAAGGAAAGGATACTTAGTCGAAAGCACCGATCCAGATGAGACATATATCATTGTGACCTGCTCGGAGCGCTGATTTCAAATCTGGCAAAATCAGCTGCGGAGCGCCTTTGGGTAAGGAGCTATGACCGTTTCAAGAGCCAAAAAATTCAATGGGTAAAGAGAGTAAAAGTGATTGTTACAACATGTATATTTTGCAAACAGACTCATTTTAAATGTGTGTATAGCAGACAGACATTTCTCTTTGCGCAGAGTAATCTGACAGATATCACTCCCCCATTCGAGCCCAACTGGAGACTTCTGCGTATAATTTTTTTCCTCCCTCGACTTTAAATTTTCTTCACAAAAACAACCATAACTCGTTGCCCAAAGGCGCTCCGCAGCTGATTTTGCCAGATTTGAAATCAGCGCTCCGAGCACGTCCAGATGATATATGCATCATCTGGATTGGTGCCTTCGACTAAGTATTCTCTCCTTGTTAGAAGCGCCCTTCTTTCCGTATAGCCTTGCGAATGCAGGTTTGGTAGCTAGCAAGTTTAGTGTCTGCTGGAGCGTTCCGAAACTCGTGTTTTTAGGCGTTAGATTGTTTCGGCTGGCTAAATATCGTTTCCTTTCTTGATGAATTTTACGATTGCGATTATTCTTTGTTAGCGTAATACACATTAGGTCGATATGAGAGATTGTTTCTCAACTGGTCGCCTTCTTCTGGTCAAATTGTTTCAAAGGCTTCTGCATGACGAAGGCGCAATGGCGATATTAGTCGAACGGGCGCAAACGCGACGCGCGCGTATCCTCTCCGTTGTAGATTCCGCGCCTCATGCGCTCTGCGGCTAATAAAGCAGCATTCGCGCCCAAAGTATTGCGCCTTCGTCATGCAGCAGCCTAAATGTTGTTAGAAACTTCATGAAAATTTGTTACAGAACACCAAAGATGTACATATCAAAAAAGTCCTTGGATGTGACAATGAAACTGTTCTGCCACCAATAGTTTAGGTTCTCTAGTAAGTGCGAAAGTCAACTGCAAAAATGTAAGGATATATTGGTTTACTGCAAGTTTGCTGTGTTAGTGTAGGAGGTCTGTTCATGTGCATATATCTCATAGAGTACAGTCTCGGTATTAATCACGAAAAACTACTTGAACATTGCTGATTAATGCTTGCGCTGAATAAACCGGCCATGTGACATACTGGAATTTGCATTCTAATCCCAGCCGTTCCTGTTCAATAACAAAAATATCAGCATACACAATCACTATATTGTCACAGGCTTGAAAAGCTGGACAAAGGCGATCTCATCTTTCGTTCTAGTTTTGCTTTACCCCCTGAATTCGTTTATTTTTGTACTTCTGGCAAAGCTAAAGGCTGCTAATCTCATGCTTTGGAACCTGTACGAGGTGAACGGCCCTTGCTGCTGGATGATTCATTAATGGGTCGTGAAGTGGTCTGAAGCCGCTCTTGGTAGTCGTATTGTCCAATTTCGGCATTGAGCGAGCATGCGTTCATTTGTTGTGCGAAATTTTTGGTGATCAACATAGATCCAATATTTCAATAGCTAGTTCAGGCCTATCTCAGAATCAAGTTTCAAACTCTTGCTACTTGTAGTTTACTCAAATTTTTCCGATTGACATTTATTTTCCTAAACAAACATCTCCTTTTCGTCTGATTATAGCATCTATGAATCGGTATCGATAACTCTTCATTCAATTGACCAAATCAGAAATTTTGTTTTGCAACCATCGTGCAACCGTATAAGGTTACTTGTGTCCATTAAATTTAGGATGGCACGTAAGTTTTGCAATTAGTTTCGTAACTTTTTCGACTATGACGCATTCATCATTGGGCGTAAGTAGATTAGGTAGTAGGCTACAAATATACGCCTACAGTTTGATTTTTGGTAGCGAAATGGAGAAAATACGAACATTTTTCGAAAGCTAATCAAATTCGATTTTGAAGGGTTCAAAAGACAAAAATGAAGCCGTTCTCAGTCTGAATCAAACGAAGCAAACCGGAATTTTGCAGTTCTTTAGAGATTTCTCTATCAACAATCTAAATATCGGCTTGTTATGTTTGATCCAGACTGAGAACGATTTCATTTCTCTTTTGAGAGCCTTGAGATTTCGAGCTCGACCAGCTTTCCAAAATGCATCGATTTTCTTCACTTTGCAACCAAAAACAAACTCTATGCCCACATTTTTAGCTTAGTCATCTTAATCTTCATGATGCCCAAAAATGAATGGTCGTAGTGTGAAAAAGAGAAAAGGTTACGAAATTAGTTGCAAAACTTATGACCAAAATATAATCAAAGTGGAGATTCAAATTAAGTGGGAATTAAGTGGGCAGCTGTCCTTGTTTAACAAATGGTATAAACCACTTTGGATAATCACTAGCTATCCGAATCGCTCCATTCTTCCCACTAAATTCCATTGACTTTGAGGAGAGTGTCCCCCTTTTTTATTTGATACAAAAAACTCTTCAGGCAAATTTTGGTTGCGCAATTTGCTTACCAAATGACGTCGACATCCCGCTATGTAAGGTTCCTTGACAGTGAGTTTGCCAAAAAAGGAAAGTTTTGTGTCGATTTTTCGCAAAATGAATGCTTTTTGCCTCCCTCTTTTTCTGGGGTAAAGTCAAGTGCTTCGTTTTTCTGGTGAATGTGTTAATGCCACTATCATTTCACTCCAAAAGTTCTCTCGTTTTTTTTTTCGATCGATACTCAATCTTGCCAACAATTTATGAGATAACTTCATTTTTCGATGCATCTTGCCTCTTCTTTCTCGAGGGCCTCGCTTACAGTCAATCTTTCTCAGAAATTCAGTTGCTAGTTTTTAGAGCATTGTATTCACATCAATGCGTATAATCAATCCTTTTTAACTTCTGAATGACCATACATAGTTCTGACAACATTTAACATCTTGCTTTCTCTCATCCTAATCTGAACTCTCCAAAACTACCAATGGCAATTTCTTAATCTTGAATTTATATGATATACAAAAGTGCAGCAAAATTTGAAAATTGAAAAGTGAAAAGATTTTAGCTCAATCACTACAAAACGTTTTTTGTCTTCTATTTTTACCCCAAAGTTCATGCGCCACAGTATTCTTTGTTTTTCACATTTTTATCGCAAAATATGCCTCTCATCTACCATAGAAAAAAGTGGCATTTAACTTATTAACACAACTTGTTGAAGGTATTGTGGTTTGAAGGTTAAAGAACTGCAGCCTGATTAGAGATATCCCTATTGTACCATTTGTGGGTTCTAGTTTTCCCCTCTAGATGCGGCAAAAAACTGCAAATCAATGCCTTCTTTGAACAATGAAGTTATTTCGATTACATAGAAAATTTGGTGAGAGTCATTCTTTTCGCGCAATGACTCAGCGCAAAGAAGAATTTCACCTTTAAATGTTTATCTTCCTCAAATCATATGTCGATTTTTTGAATGCATTTTTGTTTCCAGATAATGCAACGGTATAAAACCACTTTGGATTTGCACTCTAAAAACCTGCAAATGGTTCTTGGAGAAATCAATACGAGATGGCTTTTGGTATCCCCCTTAACTTTTCCAAAATACGAAGCTCCCTGACC